GTCTAACGAAATAAAACTATAATTAATCATGAAATTAAGGACGGTAAACACTTCAACAGATTAAAAAAACATATTGATTTATTCATTTATATAATCTTGTTTTGAAATGTGAAATGTTTTTCTTATAACAGACTTAATTTTAGTATAAATTCGAACATCATACTTTTGTTACTAATAATCATCATATATTACAAGAACTTCTATGAGCGTTATTAGAGTTCTCACAATGCTTCTTCACAAAAATAAATAAACATAGTTTTTTTAAACATCGATTTGCATCAGCTGAATTGCGTGGCATCGCTGATTGCTTTAATACATCTTTTGGGCAACAAAGGCCATATTAAAATTAGTACAATTTCGCAGTCAAGGCCATAATAGAAAATCGTAATAACGTAGTTTTCTCTGTTTGCAATGCCTTTAAGTGTCAACACAAACAAATTTTTTAATCCTTTCATGAATCCTCTCAACGTAAAACCAGTTTAGTGCTTGGTTCATAGTTGTGCATGGAAACTTGAGCCTGTTTCCATCTATAATTATTAACATAGTGACCTGAAGTGACCTGAGTGAACTTTGCAACCCTGTTAGGAGATAATTATGGTGTGTATGTATTTAAATATCGGACCCAAGGGGAAATTAATGCCCGTCTTCCATTGCGAAAGAGTGCGTGTAAGGGAGTAAAGTAGTTTAGTAATTCCTCTAAAAAGAGTTTCACTGAAAAGAGGTATTTGCTTTCCAATAGCCAAATTAATTGCCAAAGTACCTGAGAACCCTTTGGTAGCATATCGTTATGAGTCTGGTCTTTACCCTAAGTTGTTCTAAAATTTATTTATCGGTCCTTAAAACTTTTTATGCTTAAATAGTATTTCTTGCGGTCAGATGAAGAACTAATGTAACTACGGTAAATATCCTAATTATACGGTATCTTTTCTTTAGAAGTCCAGTAAACTCGGTAAAATCACGAGAGATTAGAAATCGTACTTTGGTTTATAATAAGGCCACATCTGCAAAATGCCAAGTTTTCACGAGGCCCATCACCCTGAGAAAAGTCCCATGTGCTTGTAATTTCACCAGCACCCTTACCCTTCAAAACCGAAACGCAATTATGTGATTAGATTATTGTTTGGCTGTAGAAATAGGTAAGGTGGCAGTATTTCCTTGGACAAACTCTTTCACAAAGAACTCTGCATTTAATAATAAGTGCATGCACAACAGTGACGTCTACAGTCGGGTTGGTACATTAAAAAAGACCTAGCCTAAAGTAGGTCAAGTTAGACTTTTCGTGTAAATAACCAATTTTGTTAAAGGTAACCCAGGAAATATAAAACGCGTTACAAATCTTAAAATGCGAGGTTATATATACGTTGACGATCAAGGTTTACAACATTGTCCAGTTGACATTCATACTTATACATATATGTACATAGGTGTCTGTATGTACTGCTTTACGGTTGTTGATTAAGGAATTAGCCCTCGGGGTTTGGTCGTAATTTTTTGCCGTATGGATGGTTAAATTATGACTACAAGCCGGTGCCTGCGACTTGATCTGTGTGTTTAAAAATTTCAAGTAGCTGTACGTTACTAATTTTCATACTTTTATTGGTTCTCCATACAAACTTTTATCTCCTATTTCTCTCGAGGAGAGTATCAATTCGATCGATTATTCCCGGCATTTGTGAAAAGATTTTGGCATTCTTTTTTTATTGGAAAAAGACTACCTCAGTTGGTACAGTTGGAACATTGGTTCCATTTAAATTTGAAGAGAATATTCTACCTCTAAGGGTAGCAAAATAGGAGATGAATCCGGTAACGGATTTCAATAAAACTTGGCAAATGGATGTAATTCCACGAACTTGTGAGGTCGGTTTTTTGTGAAAAATACTATACTTTTTGTGACAAAAAGTAGACTATGTCATTCATTAAGCTCCATCTATCTCTGAATCAAAATTCATCAGTATTGGTTCAGCTGTTTAGACGTGACAACGTAACAAACAGAACTACTTTCGCATTTGTAATATTAGTTTGTAGTTTGGATGGTGTAGTTTTAAATACTTTTTTTAAATGACGACCTCGATGCCCTAGCGGTTAGCACTGTGGGCGCTGGATGAGAAGGTTCCGGGTTCAATCCCCGGTAAAACCAGGGCGCTCTCGGTAGATTGAGTACGTAGTGTCTGGGTAGTAGTGGTAGTAAATTAAATTTAGTAGCAGTAGAGCTCCTTGTGAAAAATTCGTCCAGGGAAGTACTGCCACCTTACCTATTTCAGTAATGTCAGCATTACTGTGTTTCGGTTTGGAAGGGTAAAGGTGCTGGTCAAATTACAGGCACATGGGACTTGTCATCTTATGTCTCAGGGTGACGGGCGCAGCGGCAGTGCCCCTCAGATCTTTGCGATTTAGAGCTCTGAGTCGCACTGCAACTGTTATGGACAGGCGTGTAGCTTATCTTCAAGCGCTTGTTCTTTTCCACCTTAACAATACATTTTATTTTAATTAAACTAAGTAACATCGCACAGTTAAATTGCGAGGCGGAAGACTGGTGCCTAAACTACGCCAACCTAGTTTGGGCACCAGTCTTCCGCCTCACCTGTACTATTATAGGTCACCCAGGTGTCCACCACCGGATCTCAATGATACAACATTATGATGTTATTACTATTACTATTGTAGGGAGACTAATTATTTATTGTTTTGAGAAAAGGTAGTATGAGAACATGGTACCGATGACATCCGCTATAATGGTAGCTTCTGTGATACTCATTACTGTTCTGCGTTGTGATTGTATTTTTGAATAAATAATTATTAATTAATTCATTATTATTATTCCTTATTTACTTTTCCAATTGAACTTTTGACTTTATGAATAGTAGAAAAATATTTGTTCTCGACTTTTTAGTTAACAGTTTTTACTTGTGCTCATAAATTAGCATTAGTCTCTATAAATTAGAAAACAATGTTCGATATCTCCAATGAACACTACTGCAACTTAATTTTTGGACCTGTTCTGTTTTTATTTTGTTTTCGTTTCTTTATTTTTGTTTCACAAAATTCGTTGTTTTGTTTTTTGTTTTTCTTTTTTTCGTAAAATTCGAGTAGCTAGTGAATAAATAAGGCTGTTTAAAAAAAATACAGAAAATGACCTGTAGCAGTAGAGCTCCTTGTGAAAGAATTCGTCCAGGGAAGTACTACCACCTTACCTATTTCTGCCACCAAGCAGTAATGTCAGCATTACTGTTATCCGGTTTGGAAGGGTAAAGGTGCTGGTGAAATTACAGGTACATAGGACTTGTCAACTTATGTCTCAGGGTGACGGGCGCAGTGGTAGTGCCCTTCAAATCTTTGCAATTTAAAGCTCTGAGTGGCACTGTAACTGATATGGACAGGCGTGTAGCTTGCCGTCAGGCGCACGACTTGTTCGTCCCGTCACTTGATGTTATAAAAAAATGACCAAAAATAAAAAAGGCGTAGGGTTCCTTGGAAGTACCGTGATATCGTCTCATTTTATCACAAGAAATATTTTACCGTTTGTCAAGTTAAATAATAAACAAACCTCCTTGCACACATACTCAAACACGCAACACGCGTACACGCAAAGCTGTCACCGTGCGCACCCAAATATCCATCATGGCCCACCGTTAGTACCCACTAAAGTATACTTTTGTGACAAAGAGATTTTGTCTTTAAAGTAGGCAGTCACGAATGCTATTAAAACAAAAGTCACTGGTTTATTTCATCCGGGTACCTGCACAGCTATATCCTGCTTCACTTAGAAATAATCAAGAAAAATGCTGTACTTACTCGTATTTAGAAAGCCAAATTATTTTGCAGTAATTTAAACAATTGATTCGCCTTGTGAAAGAGTCCATCCAGGGAAGTGCTGCCACTATACCTATTTCTGCCGCGAAGCAGTAATGAAAACTTCGTTCCGGTTTTGAAAGATGAGGGTGCTGTTGATTACTAATAAACTTTAGACATATGGGCCTTGTCAACTTTATGTCTCAGGATAACAGGTGTAGTGGCAGTGCCTAAAAATTCACATTCTAGCTACTGCTCGTTCACTATGCTGACTTCCCTGAGAAGAACGAGCAAGAAACTTTAGGGATTTCTTCGGGACTCTTTTCAAATAAACTTAAATGCTCTGAAATACACTTTGAATTAAAATTTGTGTGGAACCTAGATACATGTCATCTTTCCATACATCTTTATCTAACACGTAGTTTTCAATTTTGTAATATGACTTTTCAATCAAAATATTTTTAATGTAGTTTTTAAACCTAGGAAATGATAATTTTAATATATGCTCCGGAACCTTATTGTAAAAACGTATACAGTTCCCTATAATCGTTTACCCCGGTTAAACGAAATTGTGGTACCTTGAGCTTGGACTTAGCTCTAAGGCTAATATTATGGATAACTTCTTTCTTATTGAAATTATGTATATGTTTACGGGCATATTAAATATTTGAGTAAACGTACTATGATGCCACAGTCATGATACCAGTCTCCATAAACGTTTCTTCTCTTAGGTTTGTCCTTTACCACCAGGCGTTCAACCCGTCATATCCCTGTCTACCGACCCGAGAGATAGGGAGTTCCGGTGAGACTATGGTGTAAGACCAGGGTACGGCGGGCGGGCCATGCCCTCCACCAGTGATATGTCTTCACGGGCGTCTCTGGCGGACCCGGACTTGGGTATGGCCTCGCCGGAGTTTGTAGTTAGTTGTAGGTATGCGTGCACCCAGGGCAGCCCTTTCAAGGCACTAGCCTTTTGACCACCGGAACAAGTCTGAGTAAACGGGCTGATCTGGAGTCAGGACCCTGATTGATAAGGTCGCTGTGACTTGCTTGCACAGGTTATTGTGCCCTTCCCATATAACCAAGAGGTTGATAAAGAGGGGCAAATATGCGACTGTTCGTCCCGTTCCGTCAGTTATGCAATTTATTATAGTCACGCAGTTCCTTTTTTTGTGTATTTATTTATTAACATTTTTCTTTCCTCTTTCCAGATTCATGAGCACATGACACCAGCTGAACTACGACACGTCTTCCACGTTGACCATCACTCTCAGGTCCCAGAATACCATCTCGTCCACTTAAACCACCATTTATCCAGGCGGAATATCCCTTCAAGCCACCAATCAAATAGCCACCATGCTAACAGCGGCAAAGTACCGCACGAAAAGTTCCAGAAAACTCAAAAAAATTGGAAAACTACGCCGCCATCTTTGCTGAATGACGAAATGTTCGTCAAAGCGAAAGAGTATATTAAAGATGTAGATATAATAGGTGATCTTAATAATACAGTGAGTGTTAATTTCGGTGCTAATTCAAGTGAAGTAAGTGATAGTGCGAGTAGTGAAAGTGATGATGTGCATAGGATAGATTTGGAGGCTTTTGGGAAGCAAATGCAGTTGAATTTGAAAAAACAGGAAGGGCTGTTTAAGAAAGAAGGTCTAAAAATGTGGAGGACGATGACGAACGATTCACAGCCCCATGGCGTCGATTATGAAGAGATGGAAACGGTGAGTTGCTTTTGCTTACTTATACCACGTGTTTAGCAACACCTTTTTGAGTAATATTGCATTATGGTTTCAAAAACCAACAGAAATTTGATAAATGTAATGAATTAAGTGGAAAGAAAAAATTAAAATTGTCCATTCGAACCAATTTCGGACAAAATCCATATTTCATGCTTAAATGGCCTTTGTTTGCGTAGTGGGTACCAAAAGTTCTTTTTGCTTTAGTGATCGATCACAGAACAGATTTTTTTAAACTTTTTCTATTCGGTTTATCAGACTACAATTTTTGACAAATTCACGTATTTTCTTTTAAATTTTATTGATTTTATTTCTTCTGGGGCTTACACGTATTTTCTTCTCGTGTCTGAGTTTTGTCATCTCGCTTTCATCGTTTAAAACGTTCTATTATAAACATAACACCCAGTTACCCATAATCTCTATATCGCTCGAGTCTGATGCCATCTGTACATTCTCCCATAAGATAACCATCGCTTTTCCCATTTGTTGTCTTAGAAAATTATTCCATAAAGTTCTTATTGTATTTCAATCTCACACTTTATATTGTTGACTTTACGTGACTTCGAGAAAGAAAGGTCTTGAAAAACTAAAACAATTTTATGATACTTTTGCTATCAAGGTGAATATTAATGAGAGAGAGGTCGATGGATGTTATTACTTCAGATTGCATACTAATTTGATGCGTCTGAAATATTTTATATTGTTTATACGGAGTATATCAAAATATACATAAATTATGCGTGATTGTTTAATCACTTAACAGATGTTAAGTAATCATTGATTTAGTGGATAAGTAGATTAGAATCAAACCTATTTTTTGACGAAGAAACCAACCCTTCCCCGGTAGGTGTATCTCAAAGCTTAAAGCGTTTGGTGGGCTATCGTTTTGTTTGCAAAATGTCAAAGTACTTGCAGCTTTACTAATACAAGTGTAAACGTTCTTCTTGCTTCTGCTGGAAGTTCTCTATCGATCCGCATCATTCTAGATTTTTCTCCCGCCATGTGTCTTCCTTCCGCATTTCCATGTTTTTTTATGATAACAAGTGACGGAACGAACAAGTCGTGCTCCTGGTAGTAAGCGACACGCCTGTTTATACCAGTTGCAGCGCCGCTCAGAGCTTTAAATCGCAAAGTATAGTTTATAGTCTAAAGGCGCTGTCTTCAAACGTTTAACAGAATCCTTGATCTATGAAACTATAGTTTATCGTAGATAGATGTACGAAGTAGTTCAATTAACAATTGACTATAAAGTACATAATAATATGCACATGTTCACATTTATTCCCATGTGATAACTTGCCATATGTTACGCTAACAATCAGCTGAGAAAAGCGAAAACGAATGCATGTCTTCGTTCGGAAATTGACTCTATCTATGTGTATCATTTTAATTCACATAGTCGGATTTAGTTAGTGATCTTTTGTATGAATAACATTCACGTGGCTCCCAAGTCAGACGAGGACCACATGCAATGACCTCGGTGACCCAAAGGTTTGCGCTATGTGCGGTGGACACACAGTTTGGTTCCTGGTGGAAAATGAACTTTTGTAAATTGGTTCTGATCTGGATATACTGGTGCTCACAGTACTGGGTAATTTTTTACTTTGAGATAATTGGTGTAGCTGTTTAGTACATTATTATAATTATAATAAACCTGCTTTATCACCTAACTCAGATTTCATTGACCTTTTTACATCTCCAGGTCTTCTGCAAATATGCACTCGTCAAATGACGATGCAGCTCGTTCAAGTATCTTGTTTAGCAGTGATTTCTTTGAATTTAATTAGTCCTTGCCTTAATAACATCCACATAGGTTCCAAGGTCCGATGAGGACAATCGCATATGTGCGGGGAAAATTACTCAAAGTTACACAGATACATGTTATGGACAAGCGTGTCGTTTACCACCAGGCGCGTGACTTGTTCATCTCGTCCCTAGCTATCATAAAAAACAATACAGTGTCATCCTAGTTACACAAGTTAGGTAGATTTGTTGTAAGCCTTCGTAGCTATTACAATTATACTCTTTTTAAGTAGAGCAGTTTCACATGCTCTAGTTGTCAGTCGATCAGAATGGCGCACCTGTGTGCCTAATGGAAATAAATTAGGGTGACGCTTAACAAAAAGTGAAGCATGTCACATATATTCATAGATGGCGCTACGGCCAAGTCATTAAAAAAAACAAAGATCTGCAACAAGCACATAGAAACATTCGTTAGGCCTGCTGGTTCGTTCCGTAGCTCAGTTGGGAGAGGGTCAGGCACGGTAGCACAGATTGGAGGGGCCCGAGATGGAAGGCTCGTCTGGTGTTCGGCGAGACTTACATTTGGAGTTGGGGATCGATGTGTCTCCATTCTCGGGGAGAGGCTACGTTGGGTGCGGCCAGCTGCTGGTAGAAGCGCAGACGAGCAATAGCATACCTATACCCCCACCTACAGTGGAGACGAGAAACACCCCGCGGGTTTGGTGCGATCGGGCTGCTCCCCTTCTGGGTTCACCCCAGTCCCACATACCTCGTAAAAAAGTCAGGCACGGCATTCTGAAGGCTCTGGTTCAAATCACGCCTTATCGAAGGAATTTATCTTAGTATTCGATCTTTGTATTAATATATAACAAACTAGTGGAGTAATTTCACAAAAAATCATTGAATATCATCATAATGATGACATTATATATCACATATATCACTATGCGTGTGTATTGATTCGTTTTGCCCGTAAAATTTTATTTTCTCGAAGATGTCTCAATCTAAGATGCCTTCCAAATGCATCTCTGTGTCAACTACGCGAACCGATTGTTCTCTTGGTGTCGCAAAAAAGCGTAACACCCGTTTTGATGTGAGTGAAAGCTGTTCCCACGCTGTCTTATCTAACCGTGAAGTTAGATTATGCGCGCAAAACTCTGGGCTACCAGGTTTTCCCTGTTCGATGGGTTATTTCTTATAGAAACTTATCACGCCTCGCTTTTATGGGGTTAAACAGAGACTATGTTTCGAGACGTCTTTCGTCTTCATCACTTACATCCATTATGGTCACAGCTTGTTTTAGGAACTTTGACCTGGCCTTTTTAAGGACATCTTCATCTGATCAAGATATGTACGTCGAAGTGTAAGCTCACCTCACGTTTCTGCCCACGGTTGCTCTCTAAATTTGTACCGTCCATCTCGCTTGACGATGAAGTCAAGGATGGGGCAATCACACCTAAATAATGCTTATTCACTTTCGCCTTTAAAAGGCCCAAGTTACAACTCTCAGGGAAGTCTGCAGGCAAGGAATTCCACTCCATAGCCGTTCGCCATATAAATGTTGAAGTGTGGTGCAAATTTTTGGAATATCGACAACGGACCCCAGCCTACGAGTCTCCCGATGATGAAAAAGAAAAGTTTACAAGAAAAAGTTGCTTCCTAAAATACCGGCTGTATATTCTTCTCATTCTGTACCTTATTCGAATCTCATTGCGACCCCCTCATTGGCTTATTTGGCTCCATATTTGTATACTCAAAATTCTTGACACATAGGATCACTTAGATCCGAAAATTAGTTTTATTTCCTATGTGTGACAATCGCAAAAACCCAAGAACTCGATACAAATAATTCATTAAACCACTTCTAACTTCAAAGAATTTTCTGTCACAGTGTGTTCTAAAGTATATTGATAGTTAGACAATGTAGCCAGCCTTGAATAAACCAATAATTTAATAGTTAAGGCTATCGATTGATAAATCGAAGATATTAAATGACTTATTCTAGACATCGTTACAAAATATTTCAAAGTAGTATTTAGTACCGATATTTTCTAAAAGACGTACTTAGTGGTTACTTGTCATTATACTGTTGGCATTCGGCACAATAACTTCTATTGTTTTATGTCGTTCAGTTTTCAAAAGCTAATAATACTGCAAGAAATCAACAGAAAACTGAATAATGCTTTAACTGTCTATTTTGAAAGTCAGCCTGACCTTCGGAGTGAAATAATAATAACGCTGTGTGCGTTATACTCAACATAGGGAAACCCTGTGTCGCGGATACCATGAACCCACACATAGACAACCACAAATTACACCCAAACTCACGAGAGAAATAAATTTAGGCCATACAAATATTTCTCTCGGCCCGGGAATCGAACCTGGGACCTCTGCGTGGCAGTAATGTCATCAAGTCATGGTAACCGTTCGGGTACATAGGCAGTTCAATAAGGGTATTGGATTTGACCCTTCGAAAATCTTTTATGTTTAAATTTTTGAAGCCCACCAATGGGTTTCAATCATCCCTATAGGATTTAAAATTTCACATTGAAGGTCAGGGTCGATTTCATTATTAAGTTTTTTTTTCAAATATCCAGTGAGGGGATGAACAAGTAGTGCGCCTGGTGGTACGCGACTCATCTATCCATAACAGTTGCAGCATTGAGTAGCAACTCAAATCTTTAAATCGTAAAGATCTGAAGGTCGCTCAGACATAAACTGCATTGTTATCCTTCAAAACCGGAACACAGTAATGCTCACATTACTACTTTGCGGCAGAAATAGATAAGGTATCAGTACTTCCCTTTTTTTACGTGGGGAAATCCTCATGGATATCTCTCTGCTGCGGGGGCAACAGAGAGATCATGTCGGACTCCTATCGACTAAAACCCCACGGTGTTCCGTCCCTGCACCTTTTGTCGGGACTACCGGAACGCTTTCGCACTCTTCCGCGGTCCCGACGGCGCTGGCACTCGGCCGAGGGCCCCTTCCCGTTGAGGTGGAGCTGGAGAAACATCACTCCATTCAACACTTACAGGGGCACGCAGGAACACCGCGAGCGCCACCTCGGGATCTATACATTACGGGCGGCGGACGCCTCCGCGTCCACCGCCAAAACCCCTGTTATGGGGGATGAAGGAGGGCATGATAGTGCCTCCTCGGACGCCCTGCTCTCCTGCGGCGGATTGGAAGAAGGGTGGTAGCCTCCCTCTCCCGCTCCGCAGCTTCCTTCTGCGACATTA